CGCATATGAAAAGATATTATTCGCATCTAAGCGTTTATTATTTAAAGAAAATAAATATAAATACTTATACACAATCTTATCTTTTCGAATAGATATAGCTATAACTATAAATATATAATCTATATTATCTTTAATTATTATTATAATTTCATTTTGAAAATATATAATATGCGAGTAATATACTATAATATATAATATATAATAAATAACTACTCTTGAATTGAAATCCTCGTATTTAATTCATATTACATCTCATCTTTACATCATATCGTATTTGTATAAATAGATACATACTACGTAGTAGTTTAAAGAACCTCAAAAAGAGATAGCTGATGCATAAATAATCAATCAATTTATCAATCCGATCCGATTCGATTGATATAATTGAATGATTGAAAAGGTATACGAGGTCAGTCACTTACTTATTACTCACTCACCAATTCATCCAACCCCAAAACCTCCATTGTAAATATACGCCATACTTACAGACAGCTTTGAAACTCCATCTCATGCACACCACCCACCATACATACATACACATACACATACACCCACACCCACACCAACACGAACACGAACGCACCAAAAATAGCATTGTAAGCATTAGTATACTTATACTTATACTTATACTTATTGTAACCCTAAGGACCTAGTACATTGAGTTAACCCATTCATTCATTCAATTCCATCCCACCAACCAGTAACCACGCAACCCCCCATTTTTCTATTTTTTTGTTTAAAAAAAGACGACACCTATTAAACCACAAACAGTTATACAAAAAAGAAAACGATCAAGCCAAACCCCCCGAAAAAATAAAAAAAATAAAAAAAATAAAAAACCCATCCCCTCACCAAAAAGAAAAAAAGAACGAAAGGAAAAAAAAAAGCATTTCCCCATCGCCACTTACACATACATATATGCACGCATGCACGCATGCATGCATACTCCGTATAAGCAGCGAACAAACCGAACCGAACTGGTGCTCTCGGCTTCTCCAAAGTACATACAGCATATAGCATCGTATAGCAACATACACTCCATCCGGCACTTCTAATCCCTGTACAGGATTCGATTCAATTCAATATTGGGGTTATGTTAGGTACTCTACCGAATGGATATGGTGGGGATTGATTTATTTGTTTATTCGGTCGGTCAATCTGGGATTATGTATCAGTTAGGTAGTTAGTTAGTTAGTTAGTTGGTTAGATAGTCTACTGGATGAAATGAATGATAGGATGAATTGTTGTGTGGATGAAGTATCGTAGATGGATGATATATTGTGTATTGTATGAATTCGATTCGAATTCGAATCTGAATCTTGGTATCTGCGGGGTTGAAGGTTGGAGGTTGGAAGGAGAAGGAAAAGGGAAAGGGAAAGGTGGCGTGAAGGATATTTAGTTTATTGGAGGGACTCCGAGGGACTCTCATCCCATCCCACTCTTGAGGGGGTTGGTTTGGACTTTGAATGGGAATGCTCAAGACTCAAGAGTCAAGACTAAATCCCGAGTATTCATTAGGTGAAAGAAGAGATAGAAAAGAAAAGATAGAAAAGAGATTAGTAAATACATATATATATACATATACATATATACTATATAAGCATGAGATTTATCTACCTACCTAGTAATACGAAGAACTCTATTCGTATAGTTTTATATAGAAAGGATATACTAGTATATAAAGTATAAAGTATAAAGTCTCGAGGAAGTAGGTATATATATATATGAATATGATTATTCGTATTAATAAATAAGCTTTTTAACTTTTTAACTAGATGACTTTTTCTTTTTCTTTTTCTTTTTTATAAGTAAGTAAGTAAATAAGTTAGATAGTTCTCTATATTATATACGGAATTATATTATATTATATTATTTTATATAATACCTATATAGATATAATAAACAAAGTTTATTTATTTTAAATACCTACCTACAAATATTAATACTTACCTACTATCTATATAAAACATCCTATAAAACACCTCTATAGAGTATTTATTTTATTTCCTTTTTAATATCTAATATCTAATTAATTAATTAATTAATTTAATAAATAAACAAGCACTCAAAAATAAAGAAAAGACATTAATCATTCGAAGGAAAGAAAGATTAAATATCGTATCGTAGAGTATCTAGATATCTCGTATTTTATCCGAAGAGATGATATATATCTCTATCTCTATATATTTCAAGATTAGATTCGGATGTAGGGTTTAGGATATAGAATTTAGGAATGAAATACTATATAGAGATAAAATGAAAGGGAAGAAGATAGAAAAGAAAGAAGGGGTTCAAATTCTTCGTATCATTCATTGTAATTATGGAATACTGATACTGATACTGATACCGATACAGATATTGATACCGATACCGATACCGATACCGATACATACCGATACGCGGATTTCGGAAGTTATATTTCGAATGGTGTGGATATACTAGGTATGTATGTGTGTGTGCTGGTGCTGGTGGTGTTATCGATCGAGCACGGTGAAGATTAGATTGGATTGGATTGGGTTTGGGAGGAGGATAGAGGATAGAGAGTAGAGAGTAGAGGATAGAGAATAGAGAGTAGTACTAGAAGGGAAATAGGTAATGATAGGATAGGGTATTTAGGTAGGTAGGGAGAGTAGGGAGAGTAGATATTTAAGTAAAAGATTGAATTGAATAACTTTTATGATCAAGTTTATTTACGAAGTATTTATTCTTTATTTTTATTTTTTTTGGTGTGTGTGTTTATACTCTGGATACTCCGTACATACTTTATCTCTCTGGATAATTTGTGTATAAACTCATAAACTCATCAACTCATAAAGTTACATAGAGAAGAAGGCCAATTCTCAAAAATCATCATTCAATTCGAAGCATCCATGCAACACACAATCATAACAACTTATTATTACGGAGTACAAGAGAGTTGATAGGAGTGGGTCTGGGAAAATTATCATCGACAACACTTGCAGCACTAAAGCATGTCAATGACGACGAAAAGGTTTCAAATAGAAGTGGATAAGGGAGAAGATTGAGAAGAGAAGACCGAGAAGAGAAGAGAAGGGAAAGAAGTTAGGCAAGGAAAAAAGAATGGTAATTTGGTCGAGATGATGAATTGAGATCTATTGTATTCTCTGGTTGATTGGATTGGTTGATGTGATTTCCGTGATCCGTTCTGGGATTTATTTGTCTTGTGTTGAGAATTATGTATTGGAGAGGAGATGTGGGTGATATGTATATGTATGATATACTTATGTACTGTACGGACTCCGGAGTTATCACATAGAGCGAACGACGGATGGAGTACACGATAAACGTACACGATAAACTTCCCATGCGGCCATGCCGAAGCATTGGAGATGCAATTGTCCTCTTGTCGTGATGAATCTGCTCTGCTCGCTTGGATGGGATCGGAGTGGACGGTGGAATTTCTGCAGCTAGTCCCTGACTATCTATCCAGATAGATGCTTTGATACTTGGAGTTAGGTGTGCTCGGCAGTGTTGATTATTGACAGCAGTGATTTACACTCCATTGACGAATGAGGTGCAGAGAATGAAAGACACGGCAGGAGTGATGAGAAAAGAAAGGAAAGATTTTTTCTTGGTGGATCAGAGGAGGGAGGTACTTTGTACGGGAAGGCAAATTATGAAATCAAGATGGAAGGAAAGAAAAATCAATTCAATTCAAATCAAATAAAATCAAACAGAATGATATCGATATCAACATTTCGGGCGTTTCGGGCGTTTGATGTTTTCCATTTCAGCTGTACCAGGGGGTGAAGGGTTGAGTTTGATTGTGGTAACTTGGATTATCGATAACGGAAAATGCATCGCGCACATCTTTTGCTGAATGGACGTTGCAAATGGACGATCGAATGGTCAGAGATACCTTGGGACCTACCTGGATATACTCGATGGATGCTGGAAATGTGCACAGTCGTGAGGAACTGGTTGGGAATTGTGAAGTGTGAATGGTTGTGAGGGACTCGTATAGTGGGAAGAGAATTGACAAGACGGGAACGGGAGGGTAGTTAGTTTGAAGGAGGGGGATGATGATGATTATGGGTTAAAGATATAATGCTGCTTTTATGATGCATATTTAGAATATTTAGATGCATATTTAGATACATATTTAGATGCATTCTGTATTTAGATGCTGTTAGCTATTACGAGATGTTAGATGTTAGCTGTAGATGTTAGCTGTAGATGTTAGCTGTAGATGTTAGCTGTAGATGTTAGATGCTGTTGGAGACGGTTAGATGCTGGAACTTGGATGCATTGATTAGATGCATATCTAGTACTCTGTATGTAGACTGAAGTAGATTTACATGTCCACTAAGCTTGGTATGGAGTACATGGCGAAAGCAAGTCATTCTTAGATCGAGAAAGAGTGTCTACTCCGTACCTCGAGCTTACTTGCTCTACTAATGTATCCAAAAGTATCCAAGAGTATCCAAAAACAGAATATCTTAAAAAAAGCATTTCATACTATCATGTATCTATATATAACCCGTACAATCAATAGTAATGTGGTTTCGAATTGATGAGGAGTTCATATAGTATATATATATAGTATATGGTATAAAACACCCAAATAAGAATCATTAATGTCAATGTTGAATGTCCAAGAAAGCCAAAATTTACTCTTTCCTTCGCATGCGGTATCACTCACTAGTCATCAATCAAGCAAATCAAGGCGTTTTTCCAAGAAACTTTCCAACGGTTCAGAGGCAGTCAAAGTGGTCGGGTCACGCATCCACTTGTCCGATACGAGTGCCACCATGCCATGTTATGCGGGAGGGGAAGGAATGATGGGATGTTGTAGATGGTAGATGGTAGATGGTGAGGTGGGTGGTGGCTGGGTGAGCAAGATAGATACTAGATATGGTTTGATGGGTATGGTTGATGGATATATTTGATGGATATATTTGATGGATATGGTTGATGGATATGGTTGATGGATATATTTGATGGATATGTTGAATAGATATATTTGATGGATATATTTGATGGATACCTGTGTTTAATAGATACATTTGATAGATATATTGACACGTCCCTCGATGATTTGATAGGAAAAGGAAGGGAGAGTAGAATATCAGAATTTCTTCCACCTCTTGACCACAATCAATTATTGACCCAGTAGGTACAATATCTTCTTCCTCTTCTCTCCCTCTGCACAATCATCAATACCTTCTCTTCTCTTCTCGACTGACACTGACACCACGACGGTTTTTGAGTTTAAGAGGTTCAAGACATTTCCCTCGATTCATCTCTTTTGACCTGCCTAGGTCCTAGGTCGCCGGGTAAAGTACTCTAATTGAAACTATTGTAAAGCTAATTCAGCCTCATACACAAGAGCCATACTAGCCATACTAGCCATCTTCCTAATCCTCATAGCTTCTTCACGGGAAGAGACCATTTTACGAAACACTAGGCCCAAACGGGAATAAAAAGAAAAGAAATCCAATCAAATGCGCCATGGACCAATGAGAGATCTGGAACGAGACACATTTATTAATCACAACTAACCTTAACAGAACGTGGTGGAAATGTTACTTGCCGCTTTTCATTTCCATTTGGGCCGACACGACGAACCAAAGAGAACTAAATAAAGACCTTTCGTACTTGACAAATGCACTAATAAGAACATGTGAACTGGAGAACTGGTGAACTGGTGAACTGGTACTGGTGTACGATACTAGACTAGGAGGTATCTTTTCTATCTAGGTACGGCTCTTTCCTTTCCTTTCCTTTTTGACTAGACTAGGTCCTTACGATACCTACATTCAATCAAGCTTGGAATTTTCTCCATCTATTATCAATCTATTTTCCTACTTTTTTCTCTCTTACTACCTTTCCCTATCTACGCTATCTTTTTATCTTTCCATCTATCCATCCATCCACCCATCCATCCATCCATCCATCCATCCATCGCGCTTTCTCTCTCCTCTCCTCTCTCTCTCCCTTCCTCTTCCTCTTCCTCTCTTTCCATTTCCATACATCTCTCCTCCTCCTCTTCCTCTCCCTCATCACTTCTCCCTCTTCCTCCAATTACAATCGGTACTACGACCTTTAAACTCCACATTAAATTAATCTCCTACGACTTCCCCAATTTTCCTTTTTCGTCTTCTACTCTTCCTCCTCCTACATCCAACCCTTCTCGTCCTCTTTGGTACCTTTCTTACATCACCAAAACCCTCAACTTTACATTCGTTCTCTTATTACTTTCACTTTTTGAAGAGGGGAAGGATTATACCAATCTCTTAGTAATTTCAAACGGCGTGAAATGGCTATCATTGTCATCACTCTGTGACGGATTTGATTTGATTAATTAACTGGTTGATTGATCGACTTCATTCAATGGGATACCTTGATTGATATCTCATATTCTAATCCCGTTCGTTGACAATCCCGCATTCCACCTTCCCCGACATTCCATTGACTGTTTTTTCCGGCAACAGCTAAGACATATATGATCATCGATAACCTTACCATTGGAGAGAGAGAGAAAAAAATCCATAAAGTCACCACGGAGATACTTACTCCTCAAAAGTAATTGATCATGTTTTATTCGCTGCAAGATTCTTATCGGCTGGGGGTCGTCGCCATAGGCCTCTTCGCCTTGGTCAAACATGTTCAGGGAATATCTATGGAGTATTGCTCGTCCTTGAATACAGGCTCTGGCAGTGCCAGTAAGTCAACCTTGATGAATCAATTGGAGTCTGACAATTACTAATCTTGACCTCTGTGTAGATTCCTCTATCTATCAATCCGATGGTCTTTGTCACGATTTCTGCTTGGATGAATATGCTTTTGCGGTGGTACAAGGATCAGAATGTTGGTGTTCAAATTATGTGCCGGGGACGACATCTTCGACGAGCGATTGCAATACCCCATGCCCAGGTTATCCAGATGATACGTGTGGTGGAGATAGTTTATATGGATACATGTCTTTGACATTATCCCCATCGGGAACAAAAGGAGCTGCTACAACATTGTCGACTTCGACTTCATCTGAGAAGGTTAGTACTTGGATACAATCCTGTCTTCTCCTTTCCTCTCCCAACCTGAGTCACCATCTCGATGCTTTCCCGTGTGCCTTCACTGGCAACCCATTTGACTTCTTTTCAATGTTAGGTAACTACTTCGACGTCGAGTCCTGAACCAGTGACCACTTCTTCTTCAACTGCTGAAGCCACCTCTTCTACTATCGTTCAACCCGTACGCGACTTTTTTGATTTCAAATTTATTTAAATTTTTATCTCATCTAAAATGAACAACGGGTAAAGTCGCCAAGCTAACTTTTCCGAATAGAAAACTACTTCATCAACTAGCTCTACGGAAGCATCCAGTACTTCCACAATACCACCAACTACAGTAGCCGCCCAGAAGTCGTCTTCGTCTACATCGGGCTCGACAAGTTCTACGTGGACACCCACTCCAGTCATATCCCTCGAAACTGTGACCGGTCAAGTTCGAACGGTTACTGTTACCCCAACTGCACCACCAAACTCAAACAGCAACTCGTCGGCTTCGAAAGGAGATGGAGGTTTGACCACTGGAGCTGCTGTGGGTCTCACGATTGGTCTGGTAGCTTTAATCGCAATTATCGCGGGCGTCGCATACTTCTGTGTACGGAAGAGGAGACAAGAAAAGGCCGAACAATATGCAGCCGTTAATAGTCGAAGGGAAAGCCTAGCCGGTGTAGCCGGTGTGGGTGGACCAATACCATCGAGAACCATGAGCGAAAATTCACGATTTGTTCTCGGCACCGATGGAAAACGCGTGGTCGAAACGTGGGAACCCGAATTACATACACCTGGATCCAGGAGGAGTCAATTGATGCCTGTGGATCCAAGACTGGATCCTTTTGCTGCTCCCTATCAACGTGGAGATAATAAGAGTCGAGAGAGTATCAATACTATTCGAGATGATCACGATTACTCGAGGCGCGTTCATCAAACAGGACCAATACTTCGAGCTGTCAACCCTGATCCCGATTAACAATGATTGCATCCTTTCCTTTCTCGCCACACACGATATTACGAACCTTCTATTTTCACCTTCAGAAACATACAGGATTTGAACGTTTTCACCGCAATTTAGGTGAACGTTGGAGTTTTCAGCGACACATCTCGGATAATACCCTTCCCGAAGACAGCCAGAGTTTAATTGAAAGATTTGGGGCTCATTCATAAATAGCACTTGGATTAAGTATCATATTCAACCCTTACCAAGTCAATAATGGTAATTTGTCATATGACTACGACAATCCTTGGTGTGGCTTGCTTCGGTACACCTTTTCATTTTTTCATTTCAAACTGTATTCATAGATTTTACACGCACAAGCGATGGCCTGGTTCAATGTTGGATGAGATGCTCAAAAGAGATGTCTTCTATTCTTTGAACTTGTTATTAAGATGCATATATGTGCTTAGTGGAGGCGAGAGGAAATAGGTTAAAAAGCAAACGGTGGATTGTACATACATTGGAGATTGAAAATTAATTCATCTCGGAAAACTTCTGGCTTGTTAATGAGTTGCTGGGATGGGTGTAAATGGATAGGAATACGGTTCCTGGAATGATCCAGCGAAACATAGGTACATGGACATACAATATTAAAATTAAGAAATTATTGTGTATTAATTGGATTTGATGCGTGTGAGTGTGAGTGTAGGTGCAGGTAAGTGCAAGTGCGATCTGTGAGTCTTTTGGTGAGTTAGTGGATTCGATCAAGTAAGATATGGATGGATATCATCTAAGGGTAAAGAGAGGCTTCTCGCTTGGAGGAATAGATTCTGATTTATCTTAGTTTGGACAAAAAGCTAGCTATATTCCAAGGTCATCGACCTTGAAACTCGCTTGGAATAGTTGAAGGGATGGATTTGGTAGGGAAGATGGAATAGGGGAGAGGGATTCTAGATTTTTTGTTGATGGGGTGGAGAAGGAGGGGTGATGTAGAGGATGTGGAGTGGAGAGATTAGGATTTTGGAATTAGAGATAGGGAGGAAAAAGGAGGAAAAAGGAGGGAAGGGGAGGGGAATAGAGATTTTATATAGGAAATTTTAAGGGAGGGTGAAGGAGGAGGGGGGTGAGGGGAGAGTGATAAGGGGAGGATGATAAGGGGAGGATGATGGAGAACAGGGAGAGTGAAGCGGGCGAGTGAAGGGGGAGATGGGGGGCAGGGGGAGATGGGGGGAAGGGGATGGGGGGGGAGGAGAGTAAGGGAAAGGGAGAGATAGGGAAGAAATAGGGAAGTGAAAAGGGAAATAAAGGAGAATGAAAAAAGGGATGAGGGGGGGGGTGGGAGATTGGGAATGTGGTGGTGGGTTGGGGGTTGAGGGTTGGGGGGTGAGGGGTGAGGGATGGTGAGTTGTGAGGGGTGAGAAGGATGGTGAGAAGGATGGCGGAGGGGAGAAAGGTGGTGAGTGGTGAAGGGTAAGGGTTGAGTGAGGAAAAGGGAGAAGGGAGAAGGGGAGAAGGGAGAAGGGAGAAGGGAGAAGGGAGAAGGGAGAGGGAGAAGGGGAAGAGGGAGAAGGGAGAAGGGAGAAGGGAGAAAGAATGGTGAGAAGTAATGAAAGGGGAAAAGGGAGAAGAGGTAAGAGAGAGAAGAGATAATAGAGAGAAAAGGTAAGAGAAAAAAGAGGCAAGAGAGAAGGAAAAGGGAAAAAGGAAAAAGAAAAAGAAGAGAGAAGATAGAGAAGATAGAGAAGTGGGAAATGGGAAGTAGGAAGTAGAAAGTAGAAAGTAGAAAGTAGGAAGTAGGAAGTAGGAAGTAGGAAGTAGGAAGTAGAAAGTAGAAGTAGAAAGTGAAAGTAGAAAGTAGGAAGTAGAAGTAGAAAGTAGAAAGTAGAAGTAGTAGAAAGTAGAAAGTAGTATATAAAACAGTATTCAAGAATTAAAAAGGAAAAAGAGGTGGATAGTGAAGAGAAGAGAAGAGATATTTAGTAAAGAGAAGAGAGAGTATATATGATATATAGAATGTAGGATGATTTTAGGGACTAGGGGTTAGAGGTTAGGGGGTAGGGGGTAGGTGGGTGGTTTTTGATTTTGAATTTGATTTTGAATTTGATGATTAGATGGTTAGATGGGTGGTTTTTGATTTTGAATTTGAATTTGAATTTGATGATTAGATGGTTAGATGGGTGGATATAAGAGGAGGAGATGGAATAGAATGGGATAGGATAGGAGGAGATGGGATGGGAGGAGATGGAATAGGAGGTTGTTTTTTTTGTTTTTTTGTTGTTGTTTTTAGCGAGAAGGTTTTGGTGGGGGGGGAGGAGGAGATGATAGAAATGAAGGATTGGATTGGATTGGATTGGATTGGATTGGATTGGATTGGATTGGATTGGATTGGATTGGATTGGATTGGATTGGATTGGATTGGATTGGATTGAAGAAAGAAATAGAATGAAATAGTATTATAGTATTATGTATGATGTGGTAAATATGAGATTGGGAAATAGAGAGGGATTAATAAGAGGGTTAATAGGAAGGGAATAGGGAATGGGAATAGGAATGAGGTGGGAGGAGATGGGATGGAATAGTATAGGAGGGATGAAATTAAATTAAATTAAATCGATTATTAATAGATAAAAATTGAAAAAGAGAAGTATAAAATATAGATATTAAAAGAAGAGAATAAGAGGGGGAAAGTAAGTATACAAAGGTGAGCTATGAATATCGTATGCTAGGGTGAGGAGGATTGATTATGATGAGAGGATGAGAGGGGTCAAATTATTCTATGAGGGAATTGTTGCTGTGATTGTGAGTGTTCGTTGTGTTGGGTTAGTGTGTGGATGGGCGGCGGAAATTGGATGGGGATGCGGATGTTTGAATAGGAAGTGAAGGAAAGGGAGGGGAAGGAAGGGAGGAAGGGACGAGACGGAAAGGAAAGGAGAGGAAAGGGAAGGAGGAAGGAGGGAAGGGAAGGAAGGGAAGGGAAGGGAAGGAAGGGAGGGAAGGAGAGAGAGAGAATGAGATTTCGTTTTTGCGGATGAATGGAGGGGAGAGAGATGGGGATCCAGACTCGAGAGGTTATAGAGAATAGAAAGTTAGGGAAGGGAATTAAAATATTATCTAAAAGTTGAAATTCCAATTTTCTGATAGAGTAGAGTGGGAAATCAAGACGAGGAGGGGGATTAGGAATAGATCTAATAAGGTGTAGATAAAGAGCTGGCTGTGACAAGTGTAATACCGAAGATTCTATGTGGAAGTTTTTGTGGTATAGGAGGATAGTGTATGGAGTTGTGGATTGTAGATTGTAGATTGGATCTTTCGAGGTTGTGAGAGGATGAAAATAGAAAAGGAGGAGGAGATGAAGAAGATTTACTAATTAATATGAAATTTTGGGTATCGAGGGCTTTTTGGATTCTGGAAGGAGTTTGTAGAGGGCTGAGTGTGATGTTGAGTATTGCACTGAGATGTGGTTTATAGGTATGGTGAATGTGGTGTGTCATCCATCTATCGTGTAATACCTAATAAAAGGAATGGAGAAGGTAAGGGGAAATGAGGATGAAGATGATGCGTTGATGTTGTTGTGGATGTATATTGGTTGTAAAGTTCTATGAGAATATTATTTAGATGCGGATAGGTATTGAGTGATTTGACTAGCTGGAGTTTATAGGATTTGTTTGTTGGTAATAGGAATAGGAATCTTGCTTATTTATTAGCTTATAGGCAATGAATCGTTCTCGATTTATTATCTTGTAATTATCTTCTTTGTGTAGTTTCATAGAAGTAATGATCTTGAAGTAAATGAGTTTCTGCAGGTATGATAATGATATTCAATTTAAGACTTGAATTGAAGATAGTAAGAAAGAGAGAATGAAAAGAGTATTTTGATAGTGAGAGGAGTGTTTATTTATTATAGAACTTTGATACTATGCGTGATCTCTAGATTAATAGGGGCCTAGAAATTATAGTCCCTTGTACTTATCCGAAATCAGGAACGAAAAATAAGCTCCCCCTCTCTCACTATTAAAACCCTACAAGTTTCTAGAGTAGGCAGAGAAAGTCGATATCCAATAGCAAGCAAAAGGTTGAGGCTAAGTCTACTGACTGAAAGTCGGATTGTATATCGTATGTTTGAATCTCAGTATACTGAGATTCAGACAGAAAGAGAGATTATGACATAATAGATAAGTCGAGATATTAAGATAATCTTGTAATAAAAATTCAACAATCGTCAGACGTCGACAATATAAGTGGAAAACGACCGTGTAAATACTTTAGATTTTATCGAAAATAACATTAGTCGTACTTTCAAATGAGATCGCTTTCTCACGATTTTAATACTTGACGAGATGATAATGAATTACAAGATTAAAATGTCATATATGGAATTATTGTTAAATTTCCTACCCCAAAAAATATTGTCAGTTTGACTTCGTTATTCTCAAGCGAGTTTGAGTGTCACGACTTTTTTTTTGGTTTTTTTACGTATTATAAGTATTGAGATTGTATCAAATTGTACTTTTGTAAGTATCTTGAAATATCAGATGATAAAAAGAATAGTATCTTGTATGAATGAATTTTAAGATGAATAATAAGATAAACAATAAGATAAATAATAAGATAAATAATAAGATAAATAACGAGATAAATAATGAGATAAATAACGAGATAAATAACAAGATAAATAACGAGATAAATAACGAGATAAATAACAAGATAAATAACAAGATAAATAACGAGATAAATAACGAGATAAATAACAAGATAAATAACAAGATAAATAACGAGATAAATAACGAGATAAATAACAAGATAAATAACAAGATAAATAACGAGATAAATAACGAGATAAATAACAAGATAAATAACGAGATAAATAACGAGATAAATAACGAGATAAATAACGAGATATTAAATATATGAATACAAAGTTACATATATTAGTATTAAGCTTTAATCTCAATGACGAGTTAGTATAAATGACACTAGATGACAATTCATATGATTTCTTCGTTAGATTTACTAGATGTTCGGAAACTGCAGAAATAAGTACTGCTGTTGTAGTATTTTGATAAGGAGTTGGGATTTTGTTGGGAGAAATAGGTGGGCTGGCTTGTTACTGAGAATTATTAATCTATTATTGTGCTTTATTATAGTTTGAAGGGAATTTGTTTAAGACTATTGCAATGGCTATAGGGATGATTGTTGTTAAAAACTAGATTAGTATTTAATGAATGAATGAATGAATGAATGAATGAATGAATGGATGAGATAGATGAGATAGATAATCGTGACAACGAGAAAATTCCACCTCAATTTTAAATTCGCATCTTTTCGGAAGAGAAGTTGCTACAGATAGAAGACCGAACCCCAAATTCAAGAATTACAAGAAACTTTTCCTGAGAAAGGGAGCTTATTGATTAACTTTTCTTGATTGATGAGGGAAGTTCTCAGGGTGGTTTATATAAGTGATTGATTTTTCAAATTATCATGCGCATACTGCTTTCTTACTACTAATTCAAGCATGGGGATAGAATTTCGAGTGCTAGGTTCAATATTTGGTTGATAATTCACAGGCAAGAAGAACTCGATGTGAATTTAGAGGTAGTAAAGTATAAAAGGAACGATCTACTTATCAGCTCGAGTGGCAAATACAACGATCACAACTCATAAACGAAATGATGGACGGCCTAATAAAGTAGTGCATCTAGTTTGGTTCAAATTTTGATATTGTAATAAACTCAAGGTGGTGTTGTTCTTGCAATATGTTTGAGTGTGTGAGAGGCTTCTGAATTTGACGTATAACAATAATGATGGAAAAGAAGGGGTTTCGATAACAATATTGGTCTCGCTTGTTACTGTCAAAGGTATGAGTGTTGAAGAGAATTCGATCATATGATTGAGGGATTGACTCAGTATTGAATAGACCTAAATCACTTTCCAAATAAGAATCCACATGGTTTAAAATTCTCATTCAAAAAGTAATTCGAATGGCTTGCTCGTCTATAATAGCTTAGTACAGGTAGATAGAGAATTTTGAATAGCTATTCTATCTCAAATAGCTCCATGTTAGGCATTCTTATACAAGGTATCAGATAATGATGCTTTTAATAATCAAGCCTTTAATCATCGCGCATCAAGATGAGATTCCTCGTTACATCTCGAAGTTTAGCGAAGAAAGAGGTATAAATTGACTAATGATGTCACTCACTGTGAATTGTCAACTGCAAGGAAGGCTCTGCTCATAACCCACCGTGCAATGGTTTGAGAAGATGTGGGTGGATGATCAGTAGAAAACTGTGTTCACTTTTGATAAGAGCTTCTATTTGAGGAAGATAGGGATTACAATGTCCATGTGTATATCGATTTGGTAGTCTCAGTGTTGTTGCTGCCGTCTAAAGATTATTGTCGTTTATAGTCATCAAGTTGACAATACTGTCGCTCGTGATTTCATTATAATTCGGAGGCTAAAAGTTGTAGATAGAGTTATTTTGCGTCGAGATCTGACTTGATCTTATCGACAAAGATTGTCAGTCTTCAGACTAGGACGATTGAACATGCAGAATCATGGTAGCTCTTTGCTAGCACTGTTTCACTGTAGGATAGCATTTCAAGATCTAGCAAGAGAAGAGCCTTATATACCAAGATTTGTGGTCGTTTTAGCAGAAGGCATTGTCCAGATTAAGCAGTGTAGGCAATAGTATTTCCCGTAATCCGTATACGAGTTAGATAATGGTGCATATTGATTTTTCTTCGAAATATGTATATACGTGGTATGAAATTCGATATCACTGAAGATATTCAATATTAAGATAATATTGAATACTATTGATAAGATACGGAAATATGGATTTTTGATTGGTATGAAATAAGTCGAAATATATGAACTTGAGGTTATCCTTAGATTTCATTAATGTTATCGAATATTTTAATCTTTTGATATTATAGAATTATTGAATCATTAAAGAAAAGGATTCATTGATTAGAATAAAAAGGAGAATTTTAATAAGTTATTATATGTTTAGTCAACTATTATATATATTATATTTTTTAATTATCTAGGTTTTATTGGGATTAGATTTTTATATTTGAGTTTTTCTGTATATCTTTATAGATATTTGTTTTAAGTGATATCTACGGCAGTGAGTATTCAATTGTTCAATATGTACTATTTATTGTATCAAAAGCTTTATATGCGTCATTGTTTTACTATAGTATATTATTGCCTATACTGAGATCAAGTGAAGAAACTGTGAGATTATATACACGTGCAGATACCGTAGACGTCGAGGCATTGCTCATCCAAAAGGTTGCCGAGTATTGAAGCCTACTTCACTTTCATTAATGCAGATTTGAAAGCCTTCGAATTTCCATCGAGTCAGACATCAGAGTTCTAATTAATCACTTCACCAGTTCACTCAAGTAAAGAACGTTCCAATTTTCTCATAATCATAATTCATATCTTTTTAAATCAACTAACCATCTCCTCATTTATAAGTCCTATCCTTAAACCCCCCAATAACCTCCACCGTCCTCGTTCCATCCTCCGCATCCTGATACAATCCCTTTGCAATATCCGGATTCAACTGTAATCTCTGCTTCGCTCTAACCCACTCCTCCATCGTAATTTCCTTCTCAAATCTCGGTTTCACACCCGCGTCTTTCAAAACCGGCGAATCCAAAATCGGCTTCAAAACCGTATCATTATGCGGTCTCGCGAAATACAATAGTCCCGTGCGCTCATACTCCCACTGATCCTTGGGTGGTGCCACGACTCGATGAATAGACGATTTGAGCCAGCCGCCTGTGAGATGCGAGATTGTGTCTGCGAGGTTGACGGTAATGGTGCCGGGTTGTGCGGATACCCAAGTCCATTTTCCATCGTCGCCGAGAATTTGCAGTCCGGCGACCGGTTGACGGAAGAGGAGGGTGACGGTGCCGAGATCGGTGTGCCCGGCTGTTTGGCCGTAGCCGCTGGCTTCGTGTTCTTCGGGGGTGCGCTTGTGGTAGATCATGTACCGGAAATGGTCTTCGCTTTTCTTGTCGTAGGTGTGTTGGTTGACGAGATATTCTTCGTCTGGGAGTTGGAGAATGATGGCGAAGAGACGGAGAAGGGGAAGAACTACATTTGAATGGAGAGCTTTGGAGAAGACTTCGATTTCGGGAAGATGGGCTTGGAGGAGAGGAGGTTGAGCATATTTGCCTTCAAAGTCTTTGGTGAATTTGGGAATGTTGTAGATCTCGATATTATCTTTAACTTTTCCAACTTGATGACGGTTGTTTCGTCGCCAGCCGTTGTAATCCGCGTTTGCATAGTCAACTTCATACTTGGCTTTCTCGTCCACGGGAAGAGTAAAGAAATTCTTGGCAAGTGTAAATTGACGATCTACTTGATCTTGGGAGAGACCAAAGTTCTTGACATAGAAGAAACCGACATGGTGAACAGCATGTTCAAGTTGTTTGGCGAGACGTTCTTTTCCACCTTCATTGTTGAAGTCTGAGAGGTCTAGTGTCACGAGCTCGGCCCAGGGAAGATCTTCTTTGGTCTCAGGGGGATGTGTGTATTTTGGAAGGTGATCAAAGTCATATTGTGTTGGATCTTGAAGAGTTTGAGTGACATCTGGAGCCGATGTCACGACGGTTTCGGTTGTGGTAGTAGACATGATGTGTGAAATCTTGCAATGAATGATGACTATGATTTCAATCAATTGGCGACAATGACTTGCAATCAATCAAGCTCTTAAGTATTACCCATATCTCTATTTCCGGCAATTCGGCACATCACATTGTATCTCTCGTTCTGTGGTTATGAGATATCTCCAAAATTTCGTCATCTGCTCCCCGCATGACACCATCACCAAATCGAGCGCTCAACCCCCATGAAACGACGATCATCCGCGATGATTGCAGCAACTAGTCGATTGATTTGTACCATTGTCGCCTACGCTTATCAATCCATGGCATTAACAAGCTTCATTGGCTTGTCAACATCCTACAATTCTCCGGTCCGGATAGAAAACCGGGGTAATTGTGGAATCGTCTAATCGAGGGGTTCATGATGTAACACAACGACAATTCTCCCAAATGTCACGTCAAGTAAACTAAGATACCAGACATATCTAAAAAGTGGGATAAGTATTCACCCACTGGCAAAGCATGAATTCCAGATAGCAATGTATCCATGGAAAGGTTACGTTCGAGTCTTACGAGGATTTAGGATCAGATAAGAATGACTTCTTTAATTGGAGCGAATGCAAAAATATCGAAAAGACGAACGATGTTCACTGATGTCGCAATATGATGAATATTGAACGAGCGTAAATTCTAGATCCACAGGTCTGAATGGTCGAGAATGGGTTTGAGATGGCGAAGCGGTAAACCATTATATATGTTAAAGCCAATCGAAACTTTTAAGCAATACACCCCACGTTGAAATTCGGACTCGAGGTTATTTCCGAGTGATCGAGAGTAATCATGTCCGAAGTCAAAGAGAAGGATCTCGGGTCAGATACCTTGCCTACAGATATCACCTCAACAGATGGCTCGATAGCATCCCCATTTTCACATCAAGACGCCAACACCGAAGTTCCGCTCAGATCATGGGAGAAGCCCGGACTCAAAGGTTCTGTCCATCGATTCTTAAGAAGTGTTCAAGGCTACGTCTGGGATGATCCAGACAAACCAGCCATCGAAAAACGTTTCCTACTCAAACTCGATTTCTTCCTCCTTACCTACGGCTGTCTTGGATACTTCTGCAAGAACCTCGATCAAGCCAATCTGAACAATGCCTATGTTTCTGGCATGCAAGAAGCGATCAAGATGAAAGGCAGTCAACTGACATACATGGGAAACGTCTTTACTGCTGGCTATGTAATAAGTCAAATCCCTGCCGTCATCCTAGTGACGCATGTTCGACCATCGATTTTGATCCCCACACTTGAGGTTCTCTGGTCTATCTTTACATTCTGTAGCGCGGCTGTTACTAATGTATCGCAATTGTACGCGCTCAGATTTCTCATCGGACTTTGTGAGGGGGCTTTCTTTCCTTGTATCATCTATGTGATTGGTTCATGGTATACGAAACAAGAGCGAGCGAAGCGTGTAACATTATTTTACTGCACCGCGACGTTAGCCACGATGTTCAGTGGCTATCTCCAAGCAGCCGCTTACGATAACTTAAGCGGACATCTTGGACATGCTGGATGGCAATGGCTGTTCATCATCTGTGGGACCATCAGTCTTCCGGTCGGCGTCATTGGATATTTTTTCAATCCCGATTTTCCCGAAACCACTCGAGCTTTCTATCTCACCAAGGCTGAGATCAAATTAGCCAAAGAAAGACTCGTTCGCGATGGCTACAACACGCTCGGATCGTCAGCTTGGGACAAGAAAAAGCTTTTTCGAATGATGGCGCAATGGCAATTTTGGGTCTTACCATTCGGTTACTTCTTCATCCAAGCGAGCCTTCCATCCCAACAACCGGCATTTGCATTATGGTTGAAAGCTAAAGGCAACTCGGTCTACGATAGAGATGTGCTCCCAACAGCTCAAGCTGGTATCGGTGTAATCGTTCAAGTTGTAGCCGCTATGATATCGGATTCTAATCTCTTGCACGGAAAACGTTGGCCACCAATACTAGTAATGCAACTTGGAACATTCTTCAGCGCAGTTGTGCTAGCCATCTGGACTGTACCTATCAAGCTGAAGTTCGTTGCTTTTTATCTTGCATATTTCTCGGCCGGTGTGCCGGGAATTTGGTTTTCTTGGTATCCAGATCTTATGTCTCATGATCATGAGATGAGAGGATTTCTGATCGCTACAAGTAATATGTTTAGCTACATCATGCAGATTTGGTACTCGGATGCGGTATGGAGAACCGAAGAAGCGCCTGAATTTCGTCCGGGTTGGATTGCTGCAGCGACTTTCGGAGCGGCGACTGCCTTGACAGCTTTATTGACGAGATTTCTTGAGAGGAGAGATGAGAGGAAAGGAATTGGAGCTTATGGTGTTAGGTCGAACGACCTGGAAAACTCGAGAGGTGGAGGCTCGATAGAAACTCCGCAATGATTATCTAGTAGATAACATCAATAAATAATATAATATACTATTCTGTACCAATCACCTTACCTTGATAGTCCAGCTATCTCCAACTAAATGCCTGTCTTTTGTGAGAGAATCGTACGAGCTCTAACATAAAGTTTAAGCCTATGATACATGGGACGATGAGCCTTGGAGAGGTTGCCAGTAATCTTCTTTGTATTCAAAAACAAAATAACTTATTTAGCTATCTATTATGTATGAGTACCCATTACAGGCTCGCTATCTTCTGTTCTAAGTAGTCTAGCCTGTTCCATATAGAAGCCTTTTGAGACGATTCCCAGATTTTGAGACCACTCTCATAACTTATTCGAACAAGCAGATCTACAAGAAGATCGATACTTGCCAATGTAAGAATGGCAGGCAAAGTATGCTAAGGCCAGAATAAATGGATAAATATGGGTTAAATCTAAGCCATGGTCAATTATTTCTATATTCGAACCGGCCTGGTGCGTCTCTTATATATGAACGGCAGAATATAGTGATAATCCAGATCAATAGGTCTTGCCAGTTCTTTCGGATCCATTATAGTGTTCAATACTCCCAACATTCCCAGACGTTTAATCAGTAATCTCACTTGCCAAAATCCTGAAAGTGTAAGTGATCAATCCAGCCAACAAATTTCAACTATCGACCACCCAAACAGTTCGAAGAGACAACAAGAACGACAGAGTTCCAATCCAACAGTGATATTACCACGATACGCTCTCATCTTCTTAGAGCATTCCAGAGAAATCACAACCGTCTCAACGATTATTTTAAATTGCAACATGAATTCGATCTTCCAATATCCGAGCAGAAGTCGCTATTTTGGGGAAACCGGCCATTTTTTGTTTACCTGGGTAACTTTTCAAGTACTCATTACATCCACAACTCTCGATTGTTATGAATCACGTAAATTAAAATAGAGAGCAGTAAGTGTTACCATCTCAAAGATATTCGCAAATATCACAGAAATCATGAGAAGAACTCCCTCAAAACCCTGGAAGCATCGAAGATTCGCAGTCTCTCTCAAGCTATAGAACATCGCATAAATAACAACTATTCACCATCGGGAGAAACAACATTAAAAAGAAAATCAAACCATAAGAGCTCAACAAAGTTCGAAGTAAGAGAAAGTTGACAGTGTATTATATTTCACTTGCTACGCCGCTTGCCTGCATCATCTAGCATATGTGGATCAAACACGTGGAGTGTAGCGAAACTTGATCGTAGTATTTTACTGATCGTTGTATTTCACTGATCGTTGATCGACATTTGTGTTCCAGAGGAAACTCTTGCTTTGCTGTAAGGGTGGTGTGAATCAGTGTCTAATATTCTTCTGATTATTGAAATTGGAAAGAATAATCAATAAACAGATATATATAGATCCTCAGAAAATAACAAAGTCTTCAAGTGAACCACTAACAGGGTATTATATTATAATTCAACAAATCTCTGTATATCTAACATCCACCAGGGAAAAAAAAGGAAGATCCATAGAGACTCGAAGATTCCAAGAAAAGTGAACAAGAAGTGAATAAGTGAATACCATCACCAATCAATCCCGACGCGAAACAAACCAGCAAACCCATCCAAAAGCAGAACCCCAAACCCCAAACCCAAACCCCCCAAAACCACAAACGAAAAACCCAAAACTAAAGAACAGAACAGAACAGAAAAAAAATAAATTCCCCAACTCGAAGTCCAACTCCCAAAAAATATTACACACATGCTTGGTGGGGAATTCGAATCCCCGTTTCCTGCGCACTTTGACGATATTCTTCATCTGGGAGGCAGACAGGTTAACCACTACCTCAACCAAGCTTTCTACCACTGCACCACCGCGAGGCGTTTGATGTAAATTATTAACATTTGATGGGTGTCTTGATATATATGAGAAAGAGGGAAGGAAGGAAGGAATGGTTTGTGTGTTTGTGACTGTGAGTTTGTAAAGTTGAGATGAGAAGGAGGGAGATGCTAGATTAGCTAATGTGATGAGGAAGAGTAGAGGGAGGATAAAAGGATTTGAGTCACTTGACTATCTATTGGACAAGATGTTTGTTTGTAGGTAAGTGGATATTGAGGTGAAGTTTCAATTCTCGGAGTGGAGTGATGGATTACAGATAGATGGAGTTGTGATGGTTGCTGAGGAAGGAGTGATTGAGAAAGAGAGGGATAGTTGTTCGATCTAGTGCTCACCTGACTGTTTGCTCGCTTTATCAACTATTTTCTTTCAACAGCATAGCCTGGTATTTTAGTTGCAAAGAATGTCATGGTTTCAAATGGGAATCTTGAATACATCTAATAAGTTGTCATATATTCTCTTTGTAATTACATAGACATCTGGGTACCTACATTGTACACCCCACCCGACTTCAAAATCTCAGTCTTTGGTAAGTCGTCAATCTTGAAGTACCCTTATGTTGTTGAACATATAATCTATGAGATTCTCATTATTTGATAATGAAGATTTGCAGAGAACTACTCAGGAAATAAGGAACAACGATTCTTCAATCCCGACTCCAGACATATTCCCGATTCCAGATGTATGAACTCGAACAAAAAGGCTCACACGCAACTGCTT